CCCCCCCCCCCCGGGGGGGGGGGGGGGGGGGGTTATTAGAAAATGAAGCTCAAGCCCAGGCCCAAGCCCATCTAGATGACAAGTTGGGCCAGAAATTTTTGGAAGCAAGAGAAGGGAAGGTTCTCGAAGGTAGAAGAGAGGGCTGAGGAATATAGATTAGTTGGCATTCTGTTATGTTTAGCTGAATTAATTTTTGCAGAGATATTTTTCTTGTATGGCAAGTTGTATAGATTTAGTTAGGCAATATTCTCTTGTATTTTATATAAGTTGGGGCATTGTACAGAGAAAAACACACGAGAATAAATCCAATCACAAAATTCTCTCAACTCTGTCTTGAAAGCTTTCCTGTTTGTTCATCCCTTTATCTTTTTTTCACAACTTTTCTTTTAGTGCTGAGAATGTCAAATTATCATTTTCAATTTGAGCTGCCGATGAACTAATGATGCATTTGTAGACCTGACTCTGCTCTATTAAAACAGGAAACCATCTAAACCACGACGAAAGAGAAGCCAAGCTCCGGAATGTTTAGATTTTTCTTTTTTTATAAGCTGGATAGAATGAGCTTCTTGGTTCTGAAGTGCATTATTCTGCAGGGTGGTGAATTCAGATACTGCCAAAAGTGTTTACATTATAAGCCTCCCCGAGCTCACCATTGTTGTACATGTAATAGATGCGTTTTGCGAATGGTATGCCTTGTCCATATTATTGTTCATGTTTTTTTCCGATCTCCTGGATAATGTATTAAAGTGTTGCCTCTTTATGCAAGGATCACCATTGCATGTGGTTGAATAATTGTGTGGGCCATGCCAATTACAAGGCCTTCTTCGCGTTCATATTTCATGCAATCGTCGCATGTATATACTCTCTGGCAAGTTTTTCCCCTTCGCTTGATCATTTGTCGTTAACCAAGTTAAAATGGCCAAACACATTTTACTATCTTGTACCTTCTGCTATCTCAGGTTTTGCTTCTCGGTAGTCAATTTGCTTCTGAAAACTATCCTGAAGGCTTTTAAGAATCGTGTATGTAATTAATTCTTTGTAAAAAAATTTCGTTTTGAATTAGATTTTCTTGTGATGTTTGCTCACTAAAATTTCATGTCCAGATCATTTCAGGGTTATTTTTGATCCCTGTAAGTTTGGTATTGAGTATTTTCCTTGGTTGGCATATCCATCTTATGTTACAGAACAAGACTACAATCGAGGTTTGTGAATAGTGAGATTGACTTTACCATCTTTTAATTGATGGCCAAATAAATTCTTATTATCTTGATTCTTTTCCCGATTGACAGTACTGCGAAGGTGTGAGAGCTATGCCTCTTGCAGAAGGTTGCCATCTTTATACAAATCCATATGATATCGGTGCACATGAGAACGTGACGTCAGTAAGATATTTCTTTTGTTTTTTGAATAATGGAAGAGTAATCGCCTATGAACCTAACCAAGTCTTATTTCTTGTGCATTTATATTTGTTTGCTCGAATACTGTTACAGATTCTAGGTCCAAATTACCTTTGCTGGGTTAGCCCCACTTCAGGAAATGTTAGTTCTGGACTTCGCTTTAGTACAAAGTATCATAAAGCGAACGAGAACTAAACGACCCCATAATAAACCGAGGAAATACACGAAAATGGCTCTTCCACTGTAGCAAAATTTGACATTGGCCTTTGATCCATTAAATGAATTTAAAAAAAAAACAAATTAAGTTAAAAAAAAAACTTCACAGTAAAATGCGATTTTACCCTTCAAACTGTTTGAAAAATTCTGTCTAATCGACCGACTGACGAACAGTCGCCAAAAATTTGACCGATCAACCAATGGCAACTACACCAACGTCGCAGTCAACGACCATCATCTACACCGGAAATAAAATAACCGATTAGTTTTCATGATGACTTTTTGTTTCAGTAGAAAATTTATTGAATAAGTAAATTTAGCATTTTCCTTACATTATTCGGTTTAATTAGATCCATGGGCATGAGTAGTTAGATTGTAAGCATGCTGTGATTGTGAAAAATGTGGATTTTTTGCAATTTTTGGAACTCTGTCACCGACAATGGCGATTTCCGACTAACCGACTGTTAACAGTTGGGCCGACTGTAAACAGTCGACCCATGACTTGTCTGGGCCGACTGTTAACAGTCTGCTTTATTTTGTAAAAAATATATATATTTAATTTTTATTTTTTTTATAATTTTTGTAATTAATTAAATTTTTTATTTGATTAAATAATAATTATGTTATTTATTTATTTAATTTTTATTACTGTCAATATAATATAATAATTGAAATATTGTAAAATTAACAATGTTGATCCTTTTTTTTTATGAAATTATCTTTAATTTATTTTTTCAAATTTATTTAAATAATATGAATAATCTTTACATTTTAAAAAAAGGTAAAGTAATTATTTATTTAATTTTTATATTTATCTTTTATATAATTTAATAATTGAAATATTCTAAAATTAACAATTTTGTGTTGTTCCTTATTTTTTTTGTTTTTATGAAATAATCTTTAAATAATTTTTTCAAATTTATTTAAATAATATAAATAGTCTTTACATTTTTTGAAAATGTAAAGTAATTATTTATTTAATTTTTATATTTGTCTTTTATATAATTTAATAATTGAAATATTCTAAAATTAACAATTTTGTGTTGTTCCTTTTTTTTAATGAAATAATCTTTAATTTATTTTTTCAAATTTATTTAAATAATATAAATAGTCTTTACATTTTTTGAAAATGTAAAGTAATTATTTATTTAATTTTTATATTTGTCTTTTATATAATTTAATAATTGAAATATTCTAAAATTAACAATTTTGTGTTGTTCCTTTTTCTTTTATGAAATAATCTTTAATTTATTTTTTCAAATTTATTTAAATAATATAAATAGTCTTTACATTTTTCGAAAATGTATATAATTTGAAATTTTTTGTTTGTAAATATATTTTTCAAATAATAATTATTTTATTTAATTATTTAATTTTTATAATTTCCTTTTTTATATAATTTAATAATTGAATACATAATATTGTTCGAAATTAACAATTTGTTTTGTTCCTTTTATTGTTCTTTTATGAAAATCTTTGATTTTTTTTCAATTTATTTAAATAATATTTATATTCTTTAATTTTTTTGACAATACATTTAATTTGATTTGTTATTTTTTGTATATATATTTTTCAAATGTAAATATTTGTGATTGTATGGTAGTTAGAGTTCGGTTCTCTTGATTTTATGAGATTATGCTTTCTTTTGTTATCTCTTGTTCAATGCTATAACATTTCAATTTTTGTAGGATGGAGTATCATTTAGATGCAGAGTTGAGACGGATAGCGGGGAAAGCTACTTGAAACAGTAGCTTTGAAAGTTTTACTGCTGTGTTGGAGCTGCTCGATGATCAGCACGGAGATATGCTACGACAGTCCTTCTTGTGGCCACTGTACCAGTTGCGAGAGGTGCAGTACTCAGGACAGATCATTGATGCATTTCTATGTCGGCTTCTGAGGCCAGTCGACGGTGATTCCCTCCAGTTCGACCTCGGGGGCAAGGTCGTCAGTTTCTCGATGTTTGAGTTTACATTGATCATTGGACTGAGAATTATGGGCGACGATGCAGCCATGGAGAGAAGCAATAGGCTGTACGAGACATACTTCTAGGGACATGGGTCGGTGCTTCTACCCGACTTGATGGTCGCGATCAAGGAGTGCAACCATATGCTAGATAGATTGAAGTTTGGGCTGGTCTACATCCTCGAGAGTGTGATGAGGTGTCATCACAAGAAGATTGCCATCGACATTTTTCATTTGCAAGTTGTTGACGACATCGATGCGTTCAACAACTATCCATAGGGTCGGAGATGCTACAAAGACACGTACATGTGTTCATCAGATCGCACTCGAGGCCCAGAGGGTCGATGCGTAAATACGATACATATGGATTGCCCTTAGCGGTGCAGGTAAATGTTTAATATAATCAAAGTTAAAGTTTTAGTGTATTACATTGATGCTTAATAAGTGTATGTGCTACAAATTTGGGTGTATGAGACAATTCCTGTACTGAGGGCCCGCTTTGCGCAGCGAGGGGAGACACGCTACCCTCGGATGCATCATTGGAGATCATCGCCAGCGGAGAGATGTCCCACTGGGAAGCAGTTATCGGCCCTCCTCGACAATCCTCAGGGAAGTATTATGCATTTGTGATTTATATTATACGTAGTTTAAAATTTTGTTTATATGATCGTTAAATAGTTGAAATGTCAATATGTCAGCTTGAAGTCATACCTGAGTTGACGCCGTCGATGGAAAAGGAGGCTCGGGGTCTTGTGCGGGATTTAGGCGTTCCGCACACCCTAGACGAGGAGATGTCTGATCCGAGCTTGGACCGAGATTGGGTATGTGAATAAAATATAATTTATTGAATATCGTCAACGTATAAATTTATTGAATAATTTTTAATTTTATTTATGTAGGAGGGCGGTTCAGCTGATCGATGATCACCTTCGCCGAGGGCATCGTCGCCACCATTGGCATCACCTCCGCCAAGAGTATCGTCCCCGCCATTGGCATCACCTCCGTCGAGGGCATCATCGCCGCTAGTGGCATCACCTCCGCCGGGGCCATCGTTGCCGCCATTGGCATCACCTCCGTCCAGACATCTCCCCCGTGTATCTCCAGGGCACAGTGATGATTTGTATGCCCATTTGACTGGATTTATAGCGGAGGAGGTCGGCGCGCTACGACGAGATTTGACGGAGAGGGTCGATGATCTAGGACGAGAGTTGATGGGGAGGGTCGACGATCTGGCAGGGAGGGTCGACGATCTGGCAGGGAAGGTCGACGATCTGACAAGAAGGGTAAGAGACATGCTGTTGACGAGACGTAGCAGGTGGTCGGCAAGAGGTTGAGAGTGCCGTCACAGTATGTTGTTTCCCCCTTCACGGCTGAGGCCAAGAGGAGGACGTTCATCGATGAGACGTAGCCGAACTTATTCAGAGAGGTGGACAATGTCAAGTGGAAAGCGTTCGAGACAGAGTGGAGGAGAATTATCCCTGGGTAAGTATTGTATGATTTTAATAAAGCACTGTACGCTAACTCGTCTACGCTTATTTTAACATTTCCCTATTTTTTACAGAGTTAGCCGCACGATAGGTCAAAGGACGGTCTCGGACCCTTCCAAGTGATTCCACGATATCACCACTGCGGGAGCTTGTCTCGCTGACGATGTAAGTGAACTATTCATTTCGTGTTTTTTATGTATATGTGACATTGTGTTTATTAAATGAATAACTCATACTTTTTTTGTGTTTCCCGCTGCAGCACATCGACCTGGCCATGGACTTGCTACGAGATCGAGCTCAAAGACATCCAAAATCATTTGATGTACATGGTCGAGTCATACTAAACACCGAGTTCCTGCGTGCCATTACCATAGAGTATCAGTCGCTCGAATTTACGGGTAACGAGTACACGGTGCCAGAATATATGCTCGAGTGGGTGATAGGACTGTCACCGAGTATCGGGGGAAAATCATGGGAGGGTTTTACACATATGTACTATGTTACACTGGAGATCGTATTTGTTGACTCGACTATATATGTGTACGACCCAGATCATTCATATTTGACACAAGGCCAGTTGAAGCAAAACCTAGAGTCCGTGGCTGTAATTGTTCCTATGATGGCCAAACGAGTGGGGATAAATGTACATGACAGATTGCGGATCGTTCGAAACATGACGACAGTGCGACAATCCGTAAGGTAAGTGTTTGAACTTTATTATTTTCATATTTCAGATTTAGTTTTTATTTACACAGTACTGAACTGATTCATTCTTGTTCAATTGCAGCAGCGACTGCGGCATATTTGCCATTAAGTACGTTGAATTTTTAGATATAGGATATATGGTTGATGAAATCAACCAGTCGTGGATACAGAACTGGAAAAAGAAGTTAGCATGTGATTTGTTCGAATTTAATGCTGACCCGTAAATTTCATTTATATATATGTAACATTTCAATTGTAAATTTAATTATTTTTGTAATTATGAAATAATTGTAAATTTGTGTTCAATGTATATAACATTCAAATTGGAAATTTAATTTTTTTTTGTTATTTTACACGTATGCCGAGTATGGAACTATTTTTTTCATATGAATCATTATAAATACCATTTATCAAGAATAAATATTGAATATAGAAGATTTATAAAGAACAAATATTGAACAGTGTAAGGTAAAAGGAAATATTATTCATTTCACGTACCTGTCTAGTCATCATTTAGGGGAATTTCATTGGTACAAAATTGTCAAGTATGCCCTACGGCTCTGCACCGGCCACACTTACGCGGTCGAGGAAACTCTCCGGTAGATGGTATTCTAGACGTACTTGGACGTCCAGGATCACGCGGTTCAACTGCTGGTGGTAGCAAATTATGAAATGGGAGAATGTGCTCGGGAACTTCCCACTCGGCTTCATTCGGTAGAAGAAATATAGTCTCGGTATATGCTGTTCTCCAAGACTCAGTCGTATAATACAAAGAGCATAACGTTCTCGCAGCAAAGACTCGATACATGCCCATCGCAACTGCATGCTCACATGGAAAACTCTCCAACTGAAATCTCGTACAAGTGCATGTGTTATCAGTCAAATCCACCATATATGTCGTATTAACGGAGAAGCGAAACTCATCTAGTGCTTCCACATTCAACTTCCTCGCAACCTCTGTCGCCTTAAATAGTTTCTCCTCTTGAGTTGGGGCCAACACGCTAGTACAACTCTGTGATGCCGCACGTCGATCATGAAACCACTGTTGTAGCTTGTTACAAATGTTCTCAATCAATGCGAGAATTGGTGACTCTCGATCCTTCTTAAACAATGCATTGAGAGACTCCGCGTTATTCGACTTCATCATGTTGTATCGACGTCCTGGAAAGTATGACCGCGCCCAATGGTCGATCCCCATCTTCATCAGATACTCCAACGCTGGTAATGATTTACTTCCTATCTCGAGCATGAACTTATTACACTCTTCAGCACTGTAAGCTTCGGCTGCTCTCCTGAACAATGAAACGATGCATGTGCCCCGATACTTAATCTTCAAATTACCTTATATATGGTACATGCAATACCCGTGATGTGCCCCGGGAAAAATTTCAGCGATACCATTTATTATAGACTGTCCCTGATCAGTTACAAAGGCAAGGTATTCGACTTTCCCGATCACTTTCCTCAATTTAGAAAAGAACCAACGCATGGACAGATCATTCTCGCTGTTGACTACGCCGAATGCAATAAGGTAAATTTAGATGTTGGCATCTTGACATGTAGCAATAATTAATTTGTCTTGATATTTAGCTTTCAGAGTTGTACCATCAACTAGAATTACGGATCACATTGTATTTCGAAAACCCCGAATACATTATCCGAGAGTCATGAAGAAATACTTAAAACAATTATCGCCCCCCGTCTTAATAAAAAATGCCGTGCCATGATTAGTTGTCCCCATGTTATGGCAATAGCTCTCTTCAACCGATCCCATTAAATCCTCCAACGCACTTTTTTGGCCTTCCACGCTTTCTGGTAGTTCATGACCACTCCGTACTCTCGACAGACATCATTAATGATGTCCGAAGATCTGTAGATCGTCCGTGGATCTTGATACTTGTGCATTATCTGTCGACCAATAAACCATACTCGAGCTTACCTGTGATCGTTTCGAAAAATTTCCACTTCGCAAATATGTTCCCGTGAATACTTGCGAATTACAAAGCATTCATTCGTGTCCATCTTAGTTGCTCTCAAGCGCCAATTGCAACTGTCTTCTACGCAAGCAACTGTCAACAATGACTTGTTTGATTTCTTTACCTTGAACTCAAAATTATATTTTAATGCCAGCCGGTGCACAGCTTCCTGCAAATCTTTCTTAGTTTCAAACAGTTGCTTGACCTGCAAGTCCTCATCATCGGGAGCCACACGGGAAGAATTGGAGGACGGTCCACTTGTTCCAACCTGTGAGCTCCCACCCGGCTCGTGTCTTTGTCGGGATAAAGCAATCAAATTTTCATTTGTAAACTCGTTTATATTCTCATTGTCTTCAACTGTCAACGGAATTCTGTGCGTAACAGCGACATCACGATCAGAAGCAACTGTTTCAGGAATACCCACATCATCCGCAGGAACTATCTCCACTGTCTCCCAAAAACTTCGATCATTGTTATCCGCCCTATCTGAATATTCGCGTTCACCTTCGATAACATCCTTCGTAATTAACGTCACACCAAGAACAGTCGGAGTCCGATACATTTTATTCAATTCTAATAGATAATTCAATTAAGCATCATTAGTAACGAATACAGGTGGCATCGGAATGGATGAATCCCCATAACCGTTGAATAAATATCTCAATTGCATATCGTATTGAGATTGATCGACACTCATTTTATTTTGCAAATCGTGGTACATTTCTAAGTATGGTGTACTCTCTGTTATGGGAATTGCAATACAACCACGTATGTCACTCGTCCATCTCCATTCCCACCGATTATTTTCATTCAATTCGAAATCACCAAAATAACATATGGGGATTATCATATCTGCATGAGGAAATGATTTTAATCAACTTCATTTATTAATTATAAGAAAAAATCAGTGCCAACAAAAATCAGCGCAGAGTTGGTTAATTGGCTATTTAACAGCCGACTGTTTGGCTGTTAACAACCAAAATAGCCAAATTGTTGGCTGTTAACAGCCAAAACAGCCAGTTTGGCTGTTTTTGCGCAGGAGAATACGGTTCTAAAGTTATACTTCTGTTCATTTTTTTTATAGGTAAGATCTGTTAAAAAAATTTATGCTAACTACTATATCGACATAAAATTTCTCTATTCAAACGTATACTAATTTACTGAAAACGAAATTAAACATGCGTAAATGTACTTACCGATTTGAAGTAATTGATATGAAAAAAATTTTCGGCTTCAATATTTTAAAGTTTTTCTAGATTTTGAGGTTCAAGCAAATGAAAAGATGAGAGTTTTTCCTGTGTTGGAAGTTCGTTTGAAGTTTTTATAAGTGGGGAAGTGTTTGATTTTCAATTATTAACTAAAAGGGTAGTATAGTCCTTTCAACAATATATTGTTTTGTAATTGTACAAAACATTTAAGGGCATCTTTGTCTTTTACCATGCAAGAGGCCAATGTCATAATATTCATGATTTTGGAAGTCAAAGTGGAATTTAGGTCCTTTGATTGGGTCAAATTTAGAAGTACCCCTAATAAACCTCGTTTTTCTTGTGTGGAACCATACTCCCCGACGACAAATGGATGTTTAGTCTTCGAATGAGTTGATTAATCTGCTATTTCTGAAGCCTTCGAGGCTAGACAGGTTACTTCAGTGAAATTTGTGTTTGTAAAGGTTATGCATAGGCATACTGTATAAAATGGAAATAGTGCTCTAGTTAACTCTTACAGTCTGTAGTAGAAAGTGAAATTGTTGTAAGTCGTGACTTTTTTAAACTGTAAATTTTATGAATTTTCTAAGATATATACTGTTTTTCTTTGTATTGGATTGGTCATGCAGGGTATAATTCACCACATTGACTGCCTATTCTTTATCTATTTCAATAAACAACATTATTTCAATAAATAGTGATCGATTGTTACATATTCTAGGTCCAAATTCCTTCTCTTGGTCTTCTTATTACTTTTCTTTAGGTATTGGTATGAAAATGTAGGACTCATAACAGTAGCTGACATAATTTTTGTATTCAGATTGTTACAATATAATAAACAAATTAGTTGTCGCAAATATAGGGAAATTAAATTATGGAATCGTGTAATTTTCTTTTACTATTTTCATCATTTTATTACAATTATCTAATGTTGACACTTTTTTTTTTTTTTTTTATCACTTGTTTAGTATAATGTATTCTACCTTATCAAGTAAATAATAATAATAATAATATTTTAGAATTTTGAAGGCTATAGTATCAAGAAATAAATATCTCAAGAACTAGAATAAATTGTATTGAACACAAAAAGCATGCTACACTAACAGGGTGAAAATCCAGGGTTTGGAATCAGATAACACGTGTCATTTGGTTATTGGATAATTTAAAAAAAAAAAAAAGGTGCTGATACGTGCACCTGTTTCCAAAGCTCGGTTTTAATCCCTGGCAGAGCAGTTTTTTCTTGAACACATTGTTGGCAAAATATGCGTGCCATATTTTTATGGATTTTATATATTGGCTTATTTAATATTATTGTTGATTTTTAACTATCTAACTTTGAGAATTTAATCGTGAAACCATAAGAAAAAGTGTATGGGTTTTGCTAGTAGTTAGTATTGACTGGATGGTAAGTAAATCGACCAGAACCTTTAAATTGCAATTTTTATAATTTTCCTTATATATCAAGATACGTGTTCTTGTTATATAAATACAGCTCTTGTAGAATAAATTCTATATCATCCTAGCTTTTGGTATATTTTTATACTAATTCTCTTACCGTTTTTATTGATAATTATTAGGTAAGAATTGATTCCTATTTTGATAGTTGAGGACCTATACGTAATGCAACGAGTCAAGAAAGGAATTAAACTTCGAAAAAATTATTATCACTGTCCGCGTTCAACTACATAGAGCAGCCGCCAATGTCGTCAAGGAACCAATGGACATGAATCTTCATTGATAAATTTCAAAGCCAACGTTTTCTTCTAGCCTCTCGCAAAATTCAAAAACAAATTTGTGCTTAATATATAATCTCATCTTTTGATCGAGCTACTTGGCTTGAAGTTAAGAACGTGGTTCTTAATTCAAGTGGTGATTGTAGTCTGAGTACAATAGAAAGTATAATAAATTCTAGATCGATGAATTTGATTCCACTTTATCAATAAATTAATATTAGAAAAAACAAAATGGAGTTGTTTTTAGTTCTTTTGATTTTTTATTTTTGGTATATTGTGCGAAATTACAAAAATTAGTGTGGCATGGGAGCCCATGGATTTTTCACTTCGAAGTTTGCTATACTATATTTGATGTTCATGTTCTACATTGTTAATTTAATTTTCATTCATTTAAATTGTAGTGGCAAACACAACAACAGCCTGCATGTACAAGTGAGAATCGTTACAAACTGATTATAGAATGTTCTTATTACTGTTTGTCCAGAGTTTTAGAAGTGGAATTAAATTAATTTTTAATTTGTCTAGATAGATCTTTTAAAATTAAACCCCAAGCATTATACGTTGTGCAATTATTTCAAAATGCTTCAATTAAATTTGTTTAGTATGATGTTTCAAAATGCTTCAATTAACTTTGTTTAGTATGGAATTTTAAATTAAAAAAAATAAATCTTATAATGAAAATTCTTGAGTTCTCACCTTTGTAGGGAATTTCTCAAGGTCTTGTCGTTAAATTCTCCTGTTTAAACATAGGAATTTAGTTAAAGTTGAGTGACTAGATTGCAACAGAAGTAATTAAATGAACTAATTGAGATGTTAGTGAAAAATTGAGTGACCAAACACGTAATTTTCCCATATATTTTACTTTATTCTAGACAGGAAATGGTACAGTCGTATAGAGATTTTTTTGTAGGACGGTTTGAGAAATGGCGCTAGTTTTCTCACTCAACTGTAATTTCTCCCATAAACCCTTTTCTCCCACAAACCCTAATTTCAAATTGAACTCCTCCAAATTCTCATTAATATCTAAGCGCCATCAATATTTTCTCTCCTCTTCCAACAGTGTAATTTGATTTCTATATTTTTTTTTCTAGAAGTAGAACACTTAAATTTTTCTCTCTTTAATTATGAATGTGAACATAATTTTGACTATTATTAATTTGTGCTGGTCTCTTCTTTTTGTAGAAATGTCAGTGTCGAAGGCGTTTCCGTGTTGTTAATGAGTTGGAAAAAGATTCAGGTCAGAACGGTGTGTGTGTGTGTGTGTGTGTGGATTGAGGAATTTCATAATTGTGTGTACGCTGTTTATTTTGATGCTCGTAATTGAATTAAATTTGTAAAAGAGAAAAAAATTGGGCTTGTGATTTCAGATGATGAAGTGAATAATTTAGGAGTCAATGCTGCATTGTCTATGCTGAAGTTCTACAAAAGTGAGTTGTTCTTCCATCATTATTAGTATTGATTTCCTTGAATTAATTAATTTCTACCAGTTCTTAATTTTGGCTGTAAATGAGAGAGATTCACCGTGTATTAATATGTGTTTTCTGCATCCAAATTGGCTCCAGTTAATTCTATATATTTTTTAATTATGATACAAATTATTCTGAAAATTGTGTAGTATTTGGAGTGTAAATTTTTATACTGGCTATGTATTACAGGGGAAATCTCGCCATTGTTGCCAAATAGTTGTCGGTTTGTCCCAACATGTAGTGAGTATTCGATGATTGCTTACAAGAAGTATGGAGTTGCGAAGGGAACCATATTGACTACTTGGCGTCTTTGTCGTTGCAATCCTCTTGGTAATACTGCTGTGTTGTTTTTTTCTCTCCTAAATCTTTCACAACCATATAAACTTCAACTTTCATAAATTTCTGAAATACAGTGTTTGTAGCCTGTTGATTCTATTCCTTTTATGATAAGCTAACAAATTAGAAAATGTCATCGTTAATACTTTCTGAAAATTATGAAGCCCTTATCTTTCATTTTATCATCTTCTTTCGTTTATTGAGTGATAGTGGCTTGAAATGTGTCATGAATACCGTGTTCTTTCAATTAAAAGAAAAAGCAATGCCAGTGTGAATTTGAAATGACAGGTGGATCTGGTTTTGATCCCCCAAGATGGTTTAATGAGCCAAGTCCTCCGGAGTAGTGAATTCATTTCGATTGTTGATGGCACAGCACAAGGTACTTCATTTTAGTAATCTTGAGTGAGTTTAGGTGTAGTATGCTTATATTTTGATCTCTTGTGAAACTTTGAAAATGGAGAGCAGAAATTATAAAATATATATTGCATAACTATTTTCCATTGTTTGACTACTGCTAGAAAGCAAGGGAGAAATGAAATACCTGTTGAAAAGCTAAGGTTTACTAATACAATCTACTTTGCAGTTCATTTGCCCTCTTTCTACTTGTGTTTCATAACTAGGAAATCAAATTTTGTATATAGTTCTTGGAAAAAATTGATTATTGTTTCTTTGGGTCCTTACAAAATTCTAGGGTAAAAAGTTGTAACTAGTTCAATTCCACTGTCAACTGAAGTGGATTTGAACCTGTGAATGTACTAGAAACCTTTGGGTGACTCTGCATCATGAGGAAAGGAGACACAAATGAACTTGAAAAACTTAACGTGAATCTATAAATTAAAATATATAAGGAACCTGTTTACCATAGTCCATAGATGCTGCTGCTTCTAATATCAATATGCAGACAACTCCATTTTATTCGAGGGAACAGTAAAAAGTTTCAAAATATCATGGAGACTGTACCACTCATGGAGTGAAGAATTTTGAATTATTTATGAACTACAAAAGTTAGGCACGTATGCCAAAAAAATATAAAAGGAATACTAGACAAGATTGTATATTTTTTGCTATATATTATATTTTACTAAATTAATAAGGATAATATTGTCAATTAAAAATTTCAATAATACTAGCTTCTCTTTGCTGAATATAGAGATTTTCTACAGAAGCTCAAAAATGCTGTTCGCTCTTTGACTTTAACCAAACATCCAAGTGCTTTTGGACTTAAAAGAGCCCTCCCAAACAAACACTAAGGGTCCGCTTGATTGCAAAGATGAAATTTGGATGAAAAGAAAACGAATTCTAGGGAATTGAATCGCTTAAAAATTGTTTTATTGGGAATTGTCGATTATTGTGTTTGATTAGTATAATTTTTCACGTGGATAATATTGAAATAAAAGTGTTTTTTTGGTGTTCGTTTGGCTTTGTTTTACATGAAAATAGTTAACTAAAGGGATTGAATTTACTGGTATTAGGGATAGAATTTGTTTCCATTGCAAAAAAAAAAAAAAAAGGAGGCAAGAATATCACCTATCTTTTGGTGTTCGTTTTGATTTATTTTACATGAAAATTTTCAATTAAAGGAAAATATTTTTTTACAATTAGGGATAGAATTTGTTTTTATTGCAAAAAATAATAATAATAAAAATAAAAATAGAAAATTGCCCAATAGCCTAGAAAACCAAGAAAATGTCTCCGTGGCAAGCAAACCAAGAAAACAAGTTCCATGGAAAAAAATTACCATCAAACATGGCAAAAGTGGGAAAGTGGAATTCATTTTCCATTTTCCATGGAATTTGTTGCCAATGAAACATGGCCTTAAGGACAAGGATTAACATTCCTTAAGGAATTTTGATTTGTTTCGAAAAAACCCAAATTACTAGTTCATTTATTTTTAATTTTTTAAAAATCCTATTTTCATTTTGTCTTCTGTATGCTAATGGAGAGCTTCATAACCACGTCTTGCTCTAACTAGTATTTTGGTCCAATAACTCTATATTATTGTGATAATGGGATTCGTGAAAAGAAATCTCGCTACAATGGAAATTGGCTTCTCTAACAATGTTCAGGACTTGATGCAGGCATTTTGTATTCAAACTACCAGATTTTAGTTCTTAGTTAAATATGCATTCTGTGTTGCCATGTTGGTAATCTTCAACCAGTCTGTTGTCTGCAGCAACTCGTGCACTCTTTGAACTCTTCCAATTTGAATTCTAATGCTTCTGTGGCTTCTGGCGCGTTATCTATGTTCTGAGGTCAATTCCCTTTACATTTTGGTTCTCTTCCTGTGAACTACTAGGATGATCATTGCAGCAAACTGTAGAAAATTTAGGTCTTTGGAAAAAAAATAATAAAAAGAGAATCTAGTAATGGTATGTCTATCTAATGATGTGGATTGCATCTATATTTAATCCAGGAAAGAGGGTTCAGCTTTTAGCAATAGCTTGATTGCATTGACAGGCTCATGGTTTTGTTGATTTTCTGAAGTCGTACCTCTGATAAACTGCTGCCATGTGTTGGCTAAACATTGTCCGAAATTGTAGTTTTAGAAATGGAGAAGTTTTCCTCGAAGGAGACAGCATCGAGTAGAGAAATGTTACTTTGTTAATCAGAAGAGAAACAAGGATGATTCAGATATTAGGATCTAGCAGACTTTATGACTTAATTACTCAGTTGAGCATTTTGTTCCATGGAATAAAGTCTGCATGAGATTATTGTCTCAGATTATTTTAGGATCATGGTGTTTCTTTCACTAGTAGTAATTCTTGGTTTTAATTCTCTGTTCTTCTTGAAATCCCATTAACATCTTTTTTCCTTGGTTTATTTTGTTACATGGGTACATGCGAGTGCTGTAATTGAGTATAAATAGTTGAAAATTTGTACTTTAAACAAAAATTGTTACAATGCAACAAAAGACATGTAAATCTCGTATGGATTCTTAAAATTTGTTGTAACAGAATATGAACATAAGACTTGAGAATATTAAAGTAAACGATAACATATGACAAAAGATTTATTTTTCAGCCACAACCCAAATTGTCATATTGCCATGGGTTGAAGTACAAGAACCCAGTTTCGACCTCATTGATACTGCCTGATTTAGCAATAGCAGCAGAATGTTGTGCATATTTGCCATTTAGCGGTATAGTCCCAACTCACCCCAAGGTGTGGGAGAAGTTTCATTTGTTAAAGCAAACCATTTCGGTGTAAACTGATCGCCCTTGGCTTCTCGGGTTCTCTTTTCGTCTCTTTGCTGCTCCTGTAGCCTGGAAAAGTGTTGAACAAGGAACAAATGTCGAAATTATGGCATGTAATGTATGGTTGTTATATATGTATAGACACATGGGGAGGGCGCTAGAGCGAGAAAGCACTGGGAAGAAAGTTTACATCATCGTTGTAAGAATGTGATACGCTCCAATTATTTCAGGGCAGGCAGGTGATACAGGAAAGTTTAATTGGAAAATACATCAGTAGAAAGTTTATTTCTTCTAAAATAGTTCTACTGCTGGTCAGAACCAGAAACAAATAACAAAGTGCAGCTAATGTACAAATTGCAGACATAAAAGCCCACTAAGGAAACAAAATAACTTAGAATGAATGCATACGTTACACAGTGCAACCCCACTCGATGTAAATGCTAAAGCAAGTTTAAGTTCTATGAAGCAGAGAGAAATATTTCTTAATTACACCTCCCCCATTATGCTAAGTAAGAATTTACTGCAAAATGATTAACTGATCCTCAATAACATGCAATTTAAGGCCCCTTTATTTCTCATTCTTTGGCCAAAAAAATGAAAAATATGATCGTTATCCATCAAATCAGATCATCATATTTGACTTTCTTTCTTTTGTGTGGGTCTCGTAACGATTATATTTTTCGTTCTTATTATTATAAGAATGAGAATCAAATGGGGCTCAATCAGTCACACAATGGGAAAAAGAAATAGGCAAGGGACACAGTATAATTGAAGCTAACCTCTTTCAATTCAGTGCCTGGCATTGGTTCCCCTTCTAAGTCACAATGTTGATAGCTCATAAACTCGTTCCACTTCCCGGTCATCAAAATTTTGGGTTCTTCGTGAGCATTATATACGTATCCATCCACTTCAAGCGGCCAGCACTGGACAAACGGATGCATATAGTCATATAGATATAATCAGCAAACTTAAATTGCAAATAAAGCTAAAATGTCAATCATTAACAACTATTACATTTTTAATGAAGCCCAAACTGGGGCAGAGTAAGTTGCATATTTTAACATATCTTCTTACATACTATTCCCTTCATCCCATAAAAATATATTTGCTTTTCGTTTTTATTTGTTTCAAATTATTAGTCACTTTTATTGTTGAGAAATACAGTTAATTTCTTAGCTTTCTAATATACCCCTATTTAATGTGCATTGTTATCAACAATATGAATTTTTCTATTTAAATAATTATTAAATGTAGGGATATATTAAAAAAAAAAAATACTATTTAGCTTCATTGGAGTTGTAAACGCAATCTAAGTGGTGCTAATGTGACATTAAATGATAAGTGAAATTAAATTACTCGTTTAATTTCATATTCATTTAACGCTACTTAAACTGGAGTTGCTATCCCAGTAAGGCTATGTAGCATTGCTCATTAAGAAAATATATGAAAATTCATATTTTTAACTATACTAGTTTTCCACCCGTGCATTGCACGGGCTATGTCATTTTTTAGGTAATATTATCGTTTCAAAATATCTATTCATTTCTCTCAATAAATCAACAAATTTGATTAATTGTTTAAAATGATAAATGGAAATATAATCTTCATATATGACACACATTCTGCATCATCATATATTATTATTAATCGATAATATAAATGAGTGTACTTAAGAGTTCAAGTTGAAGCAAAAAGAGTTCATATTTGTCGAAAATAATCGATACACATAAGATATATGAAAAAAGAACTACTGAAACATATATATAATATCTTTTGAACACACATGTTTGATGTACGTTTAACTATTTTCGATATTTATTTAGATGATTCGATATATATATGATATAGCTCTCGAAATGGGCATCAGGAGAATATAGAAGATTTATGCATTCGACTATCGTACAATCGTCAATGAATTTTTAAAGTTAGCTTGTTATCGAAATTCTTAATTTTTTTAATGATGTCTCTTTTGACATTTAAAAAAAATTAAAAGTTTATTAGGAAATTTTCTAAATGACGTCTAAAATTTTATTATATTATTTAAAAAATTTATCAATCGAGAGGAAAAAGTAACAATAAGAAAAATATTCCTAAAAATGATTGAATTTATTTTATATAAAAAAAAATTCAGATGTTAAAATAATCAAAATGAAAATTTAGTTGGCCTCAATTTTGTATTGTTATAATTGAAATGTATTTTTTGGAGATAGGATAAGTGCTCCCTTGATGCAATAGATTAAAAACTAAATTATTGGAGCTCATAATTTGTATATCAAACATTGTTTTAGTTTGAGTGGTTATTTTACATATAAATGACGTATTTGATGATAACTATATTCAATATAATTAAATCGTGTAATTAATCGATTTTTTTTATTGTTCGATATCCAATCGATTTAATGAAAAGTTTTTTATTTACGTGTAATATTATTTTATGGAATCGGCGATTGAAAATAAAAGAGAAAAAAATGAAAAAAATAATAATGGAGCCAAACACAAGTTGAGCCACAATATAATATTTTGTCGCTTAAATGAGGTTGAGATTTTTATTTAATCACCTAATTTTGATATATTTGAATTTAATCCTCTGGAATTTATATACATCTAAAATATTCAATATCGTCAAATAAATTAATCGACATCTTTTCGACTGAATATTACATTTTTTCAACAATGTGTTAAGTTTTATTTTGATTTATCGCAATTGCTTTTAGGAAATAAACAATATACATAATTCTAAGAAAATGATGTAAATTATATTGAGAAAATTGTCGCGAAAAAATAATAAATATTAATAAAATAATTAATTTTTTAAAGAAAAAAGACAAGTTATACGCATTTTTTAACACACACGTTTGATATATGTTTAATAATTTTCAATATTCATTTAGATCATTCAATGTGTTTATAATATAATTCTCGAAATGCACTTCGAGAGAATATAAAAGATCTATGGTAGATTTAAAAAAATAAACAA